AATGCCAAGACCGGGATCAGAAACTGAGGCAAAGAGATCCCTGGAACTAGAAAAACATTCCAGATTTGTAACCTGACTGCTTGTCTACAAAACTTGTCACTGCAAAACACGGGTAGTTTAGGTGGAGGTGGACAAATCAATGTTCAGTGTAACCCTTCATTTTTAGCACTCATTGTGTCATATGACCTGCATTCAAATGCCACCAGCTGTCTCACCAATCAACAGCCTGCAGTGGCATTCAAGCCCTTTCTTCTGCTTTTCAACTTTAGGCAAAACAAACAGATGACTATTCTGTGCACCTATAAAGGTGTTATCTAATATTGTAATTAATTGTATTAAAAAAAAAAAATTTTGTCCCCCCCCCCCCCGAAAAAAAAAAGTTACCCGAGTGTTCTTCTGAAAGACTGAATTCTCTCATTAGCTTGATGCATCCCTCCTGAAGGCGGATTCTCTCTGTCCTTGTGCGCTGTACATCCTGGTACCACAACAGTTTGAGGGTCTGTGCATGTAATACATGGGCTGTCCACATATCAGTTTGGTTTAGAGTGAGATTGACCTTCCCATCATAGAAAACACGGTCCCTCCAGTGCAACTGAGACCCCTCCAATATGCATTCACAGGACCAAAGCACAGTGTGATTTCCTAGGAAGAAAACAACACTCGACTCACCATCAGATGAGATCCGAGTTTAAGGCATTACATTCATTTATAGTACATAATGATTTTCTTACTCAGTACTGAAGTCTTGTTGTCACTGATAAGAGCTGGGATGGGTGAACCAGCTGAAATCCTCTGGATAATGCTGCTGACTTCCTGGCTTGTGCTAGTGAGAGGGACTCCATTGAGAAAAACCTGCTCCATGACCCGCTGAGCTCCCATCACTCCCCACTGCTGGACCTTAACTATGATGGTATCTGATGGGAGAACACCAAAATACATTAATTACAATTTCAAAGAAGAAATACTCCAAACATCACAGTAGGCTCTAAGTACCTGAAAGAATGTTATCATGTAGAACAAAAGAAGACGCAAAACAAGCTCAAATGTAACTTGTGCTGGAAATATTCAAATCCTTAAATGAAAATACAAGTAGTACTGTTACAATGTTAAACGACTAATTTAAAAGCAGCCCTAAACTAAACTTTTACTTTAGAAAACAAAAAGTGAAAGCAGATTGTCATGAATGATCCATTTCACTGTGTTGAATGACCAATGCTTTTTTTAAAAGGTTGTTTACACTGTGCCAGGTGCGAGTGCAGCACCTTTAAATGTTTGGTAATTGTTACAATCACACTATATGTTGCAAGCTCTAGTATTATGTGAATTTTTAATTTAAAAAGTAGCAGTCAATGTACTTTATGCTAGGGGGTGTTTCCAAACATCTGTTCCCCACTGTATGTACACAGTGGTGGATAATATACTAGTTTCAATATAATTAAGTCTAATACAACCACACATATCATAAATTACCATTGGGTGGAACCAGCACCACCCTGACAGTGTCAACAAATTTCAACCCCAAGTTTCACAAATAGGGTAAATTGCTGCATAGACTATGTATAGTAAGTTAAAAGTTGTCTGTCATAACAAACTGAATGACTGGAGTGTAGAGTAAAACAGCAACTAATGCCGGCTACAATAAAAAAATAACACCCCGCAGTTATTTGAGTTAACAGTTTTCGCTTCTTACCCACAGGAACAGGAAAACTCCGTGATAGTCGGCACAGCATCAGCACAAAAATGCCAAGAAAATGCATTTTCAGCTACTTGTTTTCAGCTTCAAATCCGTCCAACCGTCAAGAAAGGACGCAACTCGCCACAGTAAATAGGCACAGCTTTGAAGGGATTTAAAAAACGTAACCAAAGTGGGTCTACCGAACTCCACAACGACTTGTCTATCCACGCCCCGCTGTGCTCGGCTTCGCTTCTCTCTGATTGGCTAAAGCAGCTGGCACGTGGACCACGATCTGCATCAGAGAGCAGACAGGCAACAGGCATGTTTATCTGTCTCAGAAAGTGTAATACAGAGGTGTACAACATCGCTAATAGCTTGTTAGCATTCGCTGTGATGGTGTTGCAATATGACTTGCTAAGTGATGCTAATGTTCCTGGCTAATTCTGTTGTATGCTGTTAATGTAAGCTAACAGCGAAATTAACTGAGCTCGGTATGAGTTTGTGAAGAGACTTTTAGTTGAGAAAATGGACTAAGAGACATTGTGTGTGCTCGCAGATGGACTTGGACCAGGACTTTTGTTTTTAATCTTGCCGGGCGCATAATCTGGAGTTCAGATACAGTACGTTATTTTATTTCATAGGTTGTATATACATTACATTTTTTAATTTGAATTTTAACTAAATTCATGTGTTGCATTCAAAGTGCAATGAGTGTATTTTATTTTGACTATTGTGGCTTTCTTGCTTTAGGTCAAAGGTCAAAGTGTTTATTTGTCATATGCACAGTTAGGAAATGTGTTTCCCTGTACAATGAAATTCTTACTTTGCCGTCCACATGAATGCCACAAAAACAAATGAAATATAAAGTAGATAAATAAGTAACACAAAATCTAAGGCACTTTAAGCAGCAGATGCAACAATATAATAAAAAATACATAAGAATATAATAAGAGAATGTATGCTGCATGGGAGCAGCATGTGCAGCAGTCAACAGTCAATGTGCAATTATGCATGTGCAAATTGAGAATGTAAACATTACAGGTCGGCAGTACATGACGTATTTCCTGGTAATAAACTCCACTTATGTTTTGTGAATATTTGTAAAGATGTGTTATGTGTAAGTTTGCTTATGACAGAATAAAACCAAACCACTTCAGACCAAGCCAAAACCATGCCACCCTTGTCTTACATTACAGCATTAATAAACTGGGTGAATGAAACAAGTAAATCTAATATGATAAGTCGACAGTGAATAGCCATGAAGTCCCTTCAGTGTTTGTTGCAAAGTATGATACTATAAAATAAACAAAATCTAAATGACTCATTGAACACAAATTGCTGTTAAAAACAACACAATCATATCAAATGCTGAATAGCACAGAGCACGTTTCTGCTGGAGTCAAATGAATGTGTAGGTGCTGTTTTAGCTGGTAAGTGGCAGCGGTTATGATTTCACATATAACAATGACAAACAGCTCAGCGGAGGAGGAGGAGGGTGTCGTGGCTGAGTTATGCTGTAACAAAAAACAAGCACTTCTCTGACAGAAAAGTACTGCGTTAAAACAATGATGTCAAAAGTGACCTTTTCTTCCAGTACTGGTGACAGTGGAAAATATTTAGGCCAATTGATTTAAAATGAAAAACAAAACAACATTAACATCAAGACAAACATGTCATAATCATGGACATGATAATATATTTATTAAGGTTGGTAAACAAATGCCTTGTATCTATTTTTCTCTTTAAGGATCGGCATTTTGGGAAGCAAACTTCCGCAGTGACAAGATTGACATTATTATAATGCCTGTTCATCAGCTATGGAGCTAGAACAGGCCTCTGCCAGGGCTTATGCTTGTTGTGCTGTTGCTGTATTGTGTGTTGCAGGTTCCTTTTTGGTTGGAGTTGAAGGAAGTTGGCCACCGTCTCCAGGGCCTTGCTGCATTTCTCTCCTTTGGTTACCCCCTTGTGTTATGCTAGAGATTTTGACTTACTGCATATTGCACTGTATTGTATATAAGTTATTTTAGACATAATAAGCCCATATCAGCACTAAATCACTGCAGTTCCCTGTGACTAAAACACATAAACATTTGTTCCAGTGAATACCTCATGTCACTTTGCATAGGCTGCTTTTTCAGTCATTTAACCAACATAAATTTATCCACACAATTCCCCAACACAGCATGAAAGGTAGGAAGATTATACATATTACTTCCCGTTGTCCATCTTGGTAGCTAAAGCAAGATTTTGAATGCATCATTTTACGCCACTTGAAGCATTTTTATTTATGTTTTACTATAACTGCATCACAAGTGGGCTGTGTTAGAGTGGGGTACATGAGGCTTTAAAATTATCTGAACACATGAAATTTGTGTGCCAGTATCCTAATTAGCATGGCAGTATGTTTCCGTGTCAGTCCCATTTGTTACTATCAGTACTTTTGTTGTATTTGTTATACACAATTCATATCTGTTTAATGAAATTTCTTTCTTCTAGTTAATCCCCCACACATGCTTTCCCCTAATTTGCCATGGCCTCCGAGCTGGGCAATGTTCACTGCCTATCTACTGTGTATATTTTCTATTTGGTGCTGGGCAGGTATTGCACAGTGGTTTTTTACAGGTCTCTTACCCCAACACAAGCACAGCCTTTATGAAGAAAATACAGACAAACTTGTGAGGAGGCAGAACATTTTTACAGACATATTACTTGTAGCACCACTAAACAGCAAGTTAAAGATTAATTATGGCTTTATGTGTACCTCTGACAACTGAGCAGCACTCTTAAGGTACATACTGTATCCCCACGCAAGGCAACTGCAAGGGGCAAGTAAACAATATACCAACATAAGGCTGTGTAGTATAACAAAATAAACAGTATAAACAAGCAATAAACAGGCAGTAAACAATGCCGTCAGACAAAGGAATGTTCATTGCGAGATGAGATAAAAATAGAATAAAAATGGAGTACTTAAAAATAGAGACTTGTACGAATCTGTATAATTTGTACAATGTATATTTACCGGTATTGCACTGAGGGTTATTGTTCAATCATACTGTCGTGGGTTAAGTGTTAATCAGAGTGATGGCTCAGGGAAAAAACTGTCCTTGTGCCTGGTTGTCTTGGTGCACAATGGCCTATAATGCCGTCCAGAGGGGAGGAGTTCAAACAGATTGTGTCCCGGGTGTGAGTGCTGCTTTTCATTTTACCTTTGGGATACATTCTGGGGAGGCGATAGTGGTGCGGTGGGTAGAGCAGTCGTCTCCCAACCAGAAGGTTCGAATCTTGGTGCCTCCAGTCCCCGTGTCAAAGTGTCCTCGGGCAAGACACTGAACCCCCCGTTGCCCCCGATGGTTAGAGCCATTGGTTGAGTTGGCGCTGCAGATGGCTGCCATCGGTTCTATACCGGAAACAAATTCCTTGTGTGCAACATACTTGGCCAATAAAGGTGATTATCCTTATTATCCTTATGTAATTTGGCTAACCTGTTGTCATATTAAAAACTAGTCGGGTCATATCATTGCTTGTGCTTTTTACTCTGGAATTTCAATGTGGCTGTGTTCCCAGATCTAAACAGTTGCTCTCACTTGCTACAGTTTAAGTGATTTCAAAGTTTTTACTCAATCTTAGTGCTTTAACCATGTCATCCCAAGCAGTGACTACCCACAGAGCAATAGACTGGCTCAGAGAACAGCTAGGTCTGCACTGGAAAATGGCATAGTTAAAGAAAGAGCCCTTACCTAACCCAACTGCAGTAATAGAGCACACGTGTTGTTAGACAAGCCAACTTCTTCATGAGGCGAGGATCCATCGTTACAACCCACAGGCAGACAATAAGCATCAGGCAGCTCTAGAATCAACATATTTATTAGTGTCTGTAAGCCAGCTGCTATCTTTCTAGCAATTTTACATGCTCAAGAGTGAGGGGAAACTCTCAGCTGCACTATGTGGACACACCTCACTGAGACCTGCAAAGCACACAGCAACCAACAGGAACTGACATCACACAAGAGTAACTCAAAATATCCAGGTGTGTGTGTTTGGAGGTGTCTGGTTTAATGAAGTCCCTGGCATTTGATTGTACAGGTGCACTGCTGCTCCACTGAAGATGTGTAAAAATAGTTTGATCATTCATTATCTATACTATTTATACTGTAGAGGGTCATGGAGCAGCAACATTTACACCTAAGGGCAAATTAAGAGTCACCAATTAACCTAACATGCATGTCTTTAGACTATGGAGGAAGCCAGAGCACCCAGAAACACACACACACCGATGTTGGCCCTATCCCTGCAAGGTGCTGCAATGGCCATCAGGAGCAACTTGAGGTTCAGCGTCTTTCCCAAGGACACTTTGACATGTGGACTAAGCACAACAAGAATCAAACCACCGACCTCCCAATTGGGGACAACCACTCTACTTCCTGAGCCACAGCAGCTTACCACACTTGCTATGTTTTTAAAACCAAATTGTCTAAAATGCTTTCAAGGAACATATGAATGAAACAATGTTATCGTGTGATTTAGAAATGTTAACTGATTGCTCATAACTCACAGATCTGTCTGTCTTCTCAGGAAATATTTTGCTCATTGTTATTTCCTACTGTTGATTCTCAGTGACCCGATTCTCGCCTTCATTGGAGGAAGTATATGGCACTATAAAGAAAATGAAAGGTGGCCCAAATGGCTTCCCCACTGATTTTTATAAACAGCTTTCTAATCTTTTATCACCCTTACTTTTAGACATGCAGCCCTAGCCTACAAAAATGTATAGGCCAAATAAATTAATAGCTGTTAAACTACATATATTAGCTGTCAAAAATGTTTATTTTATGCCATGCCATTTCATTTATTTGCAGAATTAAGATGTAATTCCATAGTTCATTTAAAGGCTTTAAAAGTGTAGCAGCAAAAAACCTTGTCTGTCCTGTCTTGTCTGTACACATAGTTTGTTGTGTACATGCCAGAAACATGGTCAGTTGCATTACCTAACCTTGCAGGACATCAGACTGTCAGTCTTGACCTTCCTTATTTGCAATTAGCTGTTCAACATCAATCAGAATAGTGCTAAAGCAGAACAACCAGGATAACCCATAGCCAGACAGTAATCTGCAGAGAGCAGACAAACACACGAAGGCAGAGAAACTAGCCAACATGGCAAGTGGTTTATTTTCACTTTCGGCTTCCGAGCACGTGAAAATAGCTGGTTTTGGCAAGACCTTAGTAGGCTATTGCCAAAACATGTTCAATTGAGTTTACAGTGCAAGTATAATAAACCAGGACATGCTACTAAATGGAGGAAACGACTAATACAAACACTCGAGTTACTACCTTCTACTGGTTCAATGTTATCTGCAGTAAATGTGTGAAAATGTATGCAATGGTTGTGAATAAAATAAATAAATAAAACTGGAATATTTTTGGTTGAAGGCCAGAGTTGTCACGTTGCACACTGCACACAACTTCAGCGTTCATCTGTTTTTTTCAGTGTTTAGCAACATCGCCCTCTGGTGTCTGGCCGCAGCATCAGCCTCCACCGGATTGGCTTAGCGGTTGTGAGGAGTGTTTACAGGAAACATGGCTTCCCTGTCTGTTGGAGAGCTTCAAGAAATGGAAGGTGAGTGAATATTTAAAGATACAGCCATGACATGATTGGATTAGTCGGCATTTATCTAGACAAATGTATCTGTTTCTATGAGCACATCCGACAACTCATCCTTCTTTATACCAACCAGATCTTCATCTTTGTCGCGCTAGCTAACAGGCTAGCATCAAGACTCGTTAGCTGACGTTATTTAGTCAACTCATACTGTCCTGTTTATCAAATTTCACTTTCTCTAGTTGCGAAGTGTGCTGTAACTGTCATAAACTGGATATTACATTTAGCTTCGCCTGTCCGACCATATTGCATGTTGCTAATTTTAGTTTATATGCTAAATCTCTCAACTGTGTAGCTAGCTGACATAGTTAGCAATGTTTAGCTTATTAAAGTAGGTAAGCTAACCGTAGCTTGCAAGCTATCTCTGAAAGGCTTGTAATACCACTGGGATGGCATCCACAGCAATTAACAATGAGAATTATTCACTGATAGCTTTGGTTCACATTTGGCACATGTTATCACAATCGTCACATGTTGTACAGTTCAGAAACATGATCTAATGGTCGTGGTTTATCCAGACAGAGGCTGGATGCACCACATGACACATCCCTGGCTTCTTAGTGGGCGAGGTGACGCTGGGCTTGGTCTTTGCATCATATTACACTTGCATCAGCTAAATGTGTCAGTGGAAAACGTTATTTGTGTCTCTGTGGCGAAATTGTTTTCCTTGTCTTGTTTTCTGCTGATTGTAGTGGACCGAAGGGGTGAATCAGAGGAGTCTGGTGATGATGAGACCAGGCGGAAGAGTATCAATGGCGACATGGACCCCAATCAGCCCACTACCACAAGTAAATCATCATATCTCCAGCACAGCCAGATAAACAGAGACACAAGTTAGGCTGTGAGCTCTAATATGACTTCAACAGGAGTTAACATCTACATGGGCAGTGGTGCATAATGGTTACTTTACCTGAGATATTCTTGCTCTCATTAAAGGCAAAGAAGAATCTCCTGTTGACATGGACACCATAACCTTGGACCCAGAGGAAGAGGTTAGAAGATGGTCTAAAAGACTACTGCTGTTTGAATGTAGCTACTGTCCCAAAGTTTTTTGCTTTTAAAATGTCCTTCAATCCCAATTGCTCCTTTTGGTTGGGTAATTTTAAAAAGTCTCATGTTGTGTTTATGAAGTGAGCTTTTTTGTGGAAGATTTTATTTGTAGAACTTGGAAGTGGAGAGTTTTTATTTGCCATGCACCACTATTTGCAAAACATTTATGTTATTTTCCTGCAAATATTTTACTGCTCTGTGTTATAGGTGTATTTTTAGCCCATGTTTGGGCTGTGCACTTGTATATACATCACAATAGTCCCTAACAACAACGATTACTTACAGATTACTGTTTTTGTTATAGGATGTTGATCTTGTTCATTGTCGTATTGGAAAGATTGAAGGATTGGAGGTGCTACAGAAGGCTAAAGTATGTAAACAACCTCGGTAACTTGCTGTCAGTGACACGTAACGGTGTGCTTTGTGGAATCTTAGATTACTCTTCAGCTTTCCTTACTATAAAAACATGGCATAATTGAGTTTTCAGCATCATGTCTTTTTTTTTTTTTTTTATTCATATCTGAGAGAGAAAGGTTTAAGGTGTATGATAAAGATGATGTGTTAATTACTTTCTTTTCATTTATCCCTTTACACAGACACTCTCTTTACGACAGAATCTCATTAAAAAGATAGAGAACCTAGACAGTTTGAGCTCACTGCGGGAGCTAGATCTCTATGACAATCAGATCCGCAAACTGGAGAACCTGCACAACCTCAAAGAATTGGAGTAAGTATATATTAAAAAAAAACTTTTTGCATTTATTTTCTTGTCATATAGAGGTTCTGTTCAAAAAGGGCAAAGGTAAAGTTGTTTAAAGCAAACCTTATTTATACTGGCATCTAGTTATATTGAGGTAGTGATATTTGTATTTTTTTATGTGATTGATATTATGCCCAGTTCTCAAGTACAGTTTATTTTAATAGGTATATTTGTTTGATCCACAGGCAGCTTGACATGTCCTTTAACATTTTGAGGAAGGTGGAGGGTTTGGAGCAATTGACTCGGCTGAAGAAACTTTTTCTGCTTCACAACAAAATTAGCAGCATTGCCAACCTGGAACACTTCACGGGCCTAGAAATGCTGGAGCTGGGCTCCAATCGCATCCGGGTGAGACATAAAGAATCTCGTAAGGAGAGAAATCTGGTTAAATGTTTCTGTAAATTATATTTTAGATGTGTTGACATTTTGCAACTAGTGATGTGCAAATGAAGCAATGAAGCAATATTGAACCACTTCATCAACTGTCTTGAAAATGGGTTCATTCATTCAAAGCTTCATTTCAGTTGTATCTAGTGGCGAAATAGGAGACAGCAAAACACTGTCTTAATAATTATGTGATGCATGTAAATAGCGTTTGTGTGAATGATGTAAATACATTTTTGTAAAGATTGATTAGTCGGTCGGTTGATTCTATAAACTTAGTAGATGGGAGAAGGTGCGCGTGGGGAAACAGAGGATGTGCTAGGATCGTAGAGTGTGCTTGTGTAACTAGGGCAGGGTGTGATTATGTAAGTGGGATGGAGATTCAAAGATTTTTATTGAGAAACAATAAAAAGCAGCTACGAAACAGTACCGACTGGTTTGAATCAGTCACTTGTCTTTTTTCTGCACCAACGCAAGCTTCGAAGCAGTGGTTCAAGGAAAATGTTCCTTCGAGTTTGAAGCTTGTATCGGCACATTGGTGTCAGACAGCCATCATTATTTGCAACTTTATGGTGCAGATGACCCCAAATCAGAAAAAGTTGAGACCGTATGTAAAACTGAAACTGAAAATGGTGATTTTGTAAATCATCTGTGTCCTGTATTACATTGAAAACAATACAGCAGCCCACTATTTGATGTGATACCTTATCAATTTTATTTTTTTTTTAAATAAACACTCACTCCAATCCTGATGCCTGCAACACATTCCAAAAAAAGCTGGGACGGTTGCATTTCAGGGCTTAGTAATGAGGTAAAACAATGAAATGATGATTCATTGATGAGGTAGCACATCAAATAATGTGCTCCTGTATTGTTTTCAATGTGATACAGGACACACATGATTTACAAATCACTATTTTCAGTTTTAATTGTTTTTTTTTTTGTTTGTTTGTTTTTTTACATACCGTCCCAACTTTTTTCTGATTTGGGGTTGTTGTATAAAAGAAATTATAGGACATATGTGGAATATTTATGAAAACAGTTTGCTTCTTTTTATGTTATTCTGTTCACAGGTCATAGAGAACCTGGATTCACTGGCATCTTTGCAAAGTTTATTTCTTGGGACCAATAAAATAACGAAGCTTCAGAATATGGAGGGTTTACATAACCTGACAGTTTTAAGCATACAGGTATTCTCACCAAAATCCTCCTCTCAAAATCCACTCACGTGTTTGAGTGGTAACAAGAATAAAAGTGACGTGTATAGTGAAGCACTGGTTAATGAGTTTGTTTACATTTATTTTCAGAGTAACCGGATCACTAAAATTGAGGGTCTACAGAACCTTGTCAACTTGAGAGAGCTCTATCTAAGTCACAATGGCATTGAGGTTATTGAGGGCTTGGAAAACAATGTGAGTCATAGTAATACAACCACTCATTTTTGCTAACTGTGCAGACATAACAGCAAATTGTGTTCTGTACATTCAAATACTGCTGTTCCCCTTCATAGAAGAAGCTTACAACCCTGGACATTGCAGCCAATCGAGTAAAGAAAATTGAAAACATCAGCCATCTGACAGAGCTGCAGGAGTTTTGGGTACAGATCATTTGTGACAAAAACAGAAATTTCAGTGCTCTGCATGTCCTCCATATGAAAGTGTTTAGCCAGGCAGGACGATATTAATTGTCTTCTTATTGGCTGTTATTGTCTTTCAATCTCTCTACAGATGAATGATAATCAGATAGATAACTGGTCAGATCTTGATGAGTTGAAGAATGCCAAGTCCCTGGAGACGGTCTATCTCGAAAGAAACCCACTACAGAAGGATCCACAGTACCGTCGAAAGATCATGCTGGCGCTACCCAGTGTACGCCAGATTGATGCTACCTTCATTCGCTTCTAAACTGTAGTATACAAGTCATCTGTGAACTTCAGTGTTCTCCCTCACCTGCCTGCCTGCCTGCTCCGCCTCCATAAACATACTTTATTTTGAAACATTCTGGCCTCACTGAATCATAGTCACTCCTTACACAAACATGCATTCCAACATTGAATCACCCATTGTTCACTCAACATACTTTACATGTATGCATGTGTGCACTCATTCACACCTTGATCTGTGCTATTGTGTGGAAGCTTAATTATTTTTAGGCAGGATATAAACTGTGGACATGATTTCAAAAACTACCTGACACCCATTTCCTCATTTTTCCTCCACATCTGTTTTTCTTGTTTCACATGTGGGCTACGGTATGGAGACATCATCCTTCCTCAGTCATGCACTGCCCATCATCAGCAAAAATAAGAAACCTGCTGTAGAAGTTGCACTGCTAACACATGAGAGGAAAGCATTTGTACTATTTGGGGGATTTTTTGAGGGGGTTGTTGGAACAGGCTGACACTCTTCCCACAAGGTACACAGTGAGTAGAAGAACAATTAAACCTCAACATTTAAAGGTAAAGCCCATAAAAAAAATACATGTTGCATATTTAAATCTTAAGAATGCTAGTGCTTATTTGGTTTAACATGCCTATAACTGTCTAACATCTAAAATAAGGTCTAAGATGACACCATGCAGTTTAAAGCAATTTAGTATAGTGGCTCTCACAAACATCAGTCAAGCAAAACATATGCTTTACTGCAGTAGCTGATTAATCGATGTTAAAAAAAAAAAAGGTATGGTTACCGACAAAGGGCAGCAGCGGTGTCTATTCTTTGTCCAAATATCTTATAGCATATAGGCAAATTTTATGATTAACAGGAGTGACCCCTGCAGTAAAATAAAGCTCATGTGAATGTAAAATCATGTAATGTGTCTAAAAATGTTTTCTTCTGAATGCATCACTGATCACAGTCTTGGGTTTTCTTTTGAGTTCAGAATGCATGTTCATAAATTTTACAGATACATAAAAGATAGGTAACTTCATGCTGTTGGCACAGACAGCTGTTTTAATCACATTTTGAGATTTCAATTTCTCACCTGTGTAAAGTCATTACAGTGACGCCTGTATTTTTCTCATTCAGTCTTCAGTATTACTTCAAAAGAAATATTGATGTATATTTATTGACCATGTTTGCTATAGGATTTCTTATATCGACCTGTAAGATGACCACCTTGAACCGAAGGTTGATGACTGGTTTCTGTGGTCTCCTGTATATAATGCTTCAATGCGCTTGATTTACTTCCCCTTAAGATTAGAAAGTGAAGTGTATTTGTATGGAAAAATATTTCGACCTCAGGACTAAAAGGTCACACTTCAATACAATTAAGAAGCATCAGATTTCAGTGCGCTGCAGGGTTGAGGTGGAAAGTGCTAAAATAAGTGCTCTCTGTGCAAGTATTGTGTAGCTCATTCTGTCTGGGTTTATAGAAGACCTTCATATTGTTAAAGCAGGCTGAGTTTATACTGACTCCCACTTTAGGTAAGAAAAGAAACCGCTTAATATCCTGGTTTGTATCATAGAATAGGTGTCTTTAGCTATCAGTTTGCGCTTTTTCAAAAAGAATAGAAATTGTAATTACAAACCTTTTAAATCCAGATACCTACCTTGATAACTCAACAGACCATTAGTAAAACGTCAGGACATTATACATTATTGCTATTACAGATATGAATGTAATTTTATTTTCTCTTCATCTTTAACTGGGTTTAGATATGTATATTTGTGAAATATAGTTTGGACATGTCAAAAGTCAGTGCCATCATCATCTTCCCTTTGTAAAGTGATTTCTTTTTTCTTGTTTATGCCAGGCAGCACTACACCTTTGTGTGAAATATTGTAATTAAGATAACTTGGCCTGTACTGGTCACTGAATAAGCAATTATTCCAAATACTATTAGCTCATTATTAGAACTGAGTCTTCAGTTTTTGGATTTGGTTGATGCTGTTTTCAAACTGAATGTATTATGCAAATAATAAACTTACACTACTTAAATAACATGTATCTAGTTTCAATTTGTATTATATTTATCAGGACTGATACAGTACAATTTTAAGACTTTACTACTTAACCATTTTAATTTACATCAGAGGTACAGCAATAGTAGAAAACTGAGTTCTTTGTTTGTGCCAGTTTAGTCCATAAGTCCATTCATTAAATGTCACTTTAAATTCCCAGTTTGATTATGCAGATATCCATGTATGAAAGTCCACTCTCTCAGTGCACTTCCTATTTTACTAATGTATTCTTTTTTCTGAATCTAGCACTCCTTTTCCCATACATATTACTAACTACAGGAAATGCAGCACAGTTGTGATGTGTCTGTTACTGCATAATCTATTTTGATTGTCAGTGTCTCCAGTAAAAATGATTTTGTTAGTGTTCCATGAGATTAAAATGTTTCAAAAACTGAAGGGATAACTTAAAGTATTCTCTAAGGAAAGGTTAGTGGAAATTGCTAAATGAATAATCTTAGGTCAATAAATGTTAATAGAGAAAGATCTTGGCCACAAAAAAGTGTTTACAAACTGTGATATCCTCCAAAAATGAGGTCAATGGACGAAATATTGATTTTTAGGCTCATTTTAACGTGTGTTTGCTACAAAGGTTGCAGTTAGATCTTTTCATTTTAAAAATCGATTAAACGCAATTTTCCAAGAGATGTCTAAACAGCTGTATGCATAGTATCACGCCATTTTGCGTAGTGAACTATATTACCCACAATGCAGCACCAATCTTTGGTGACGCAGGGGGCTCGCGCCGCGCTAGGCAGGGGAAAAGAGCGGCGCAGCGCATGCGCCACATTTATGTTGTTGTTTGTGGCGGTAAGATGGCGGCGCTCGGAGACAGCTCAGCTCTGGGGATGAACGGGTTAATACAACAATTCACAGCAATAACAGGTAAAAATAATGTATTATTTTGCATTTGATCTATTAAGTATGTTTGGGTTATTTAACAGGAACAGCTCCCTTGCCCAACAAACCAGGTAATGAGTGCGTAGATAAGAAAACGAACATAAAGTCTTGCATTGGCTCCTGCGTTGCCAGTGCTTTGCAGGGGGAAAAGCACAACCAGTTATCTGCTAAACTCAAGGGAAAGACTCAGAAAAATGATCATTGAACCATAAGCTTTGAATATTTATCTGTCACAGCCAATCAAAAATATTTAGTTTTCTTTGAGATGCTCATTACCAACACTATCTTGTTAGTCTATAACTGGATTTCTGCTCTTTTGCATTGGTTGGTTGTTAATGTGGAATGGACGTCGGCTGTAACATTTCCCTTCTTCATCATCAGCCAAGCTTAATGTTGTTACTGTCATCTCCCCCCCCTGATTGTGGTGTTAACCACACTTGGATGAGCACAATCTCCGTGCCCGATTACTCCCGCATAGGTGCTCGCTTGTTTATGTATGCTTGGACACTGGACAGAGTTTCAAATTTAAGTTATTTAACGGAGAAAACAGGAGAGTCAGTTCGGGGGCTGCTGCCAGACTTGGAAAGTGAAACGGACATGCGCAGTACAGGCGGCGAGCTCATAGTAGCCGAACGCTACTGTGCATGTCACAAAGTCAAAAGTTAAACTCTCTGATCACATATGCAAAACATTTTCATACAGTTATGCATTATGGCGATTCATAATCTGGAGATATTTAAGATCTATTTTAATGTGTTTACACGTTTCAGCCTATTTTCTGTAAATCATGTAACCTCTACTTTGAGTTAGTACCTGTCATTTCCAAGGCATATTTTTAAAATCTGGATGCATTGTTGCTTGTGTTAACTTTTCGGTAGTTGTTTCATTACAGTAACAAAGTTGCAGTGTTGCATTCATCTGGCAAAGACCAGTGGTGTTAGCACTAAGATGTTTCATTTAAAAACAGTGTACAAATACTCCATACAAGTAAAAAAATTTAGCCTACTATTACTAAAATGTTTACTCAAGGAAAAATATGCTCAAAATACCAGAACCACTACTTAATATATAGAATGTCCAGATTCTGACTAAGATATTATATTACTGGATAATAAATACAGCTGCATTTTTATAATATTCCATAGCACCCCATTATTGGAAAGTTTTTATTCTGAGTTTACACACGGGGATGTAATTCTTACAGAAACAATGCTAAACTGGATGTTCATATTGAGAAGGCATTTTACTAACTTGTTTCAGTTGTGTGCAAGCATGCATTGTCACTAAATAGTGAAGTTAATGAAAACAAATGATGCCTTAAAGGCATGTAGTCAAATAAAAGCTTGTTAGCCATATGTATACATAATATTTAGTAAATAAGTAGTAGTACCATACCACATGCATAGTGTGGTATGGTACTTTTAATTGATCAAACTCTACTATGTTACTGATGTTTTTGATGTAGTATCTAATCACTTTTACTGTTTGGTACATTTAAAGTTACTACATGTGTTGCATTTATAATGTCACAAACATGTGGCTGTGAGATCTTGGCTCATTACAGATGTGTTGTTACCAGTGCAGATATTGGCAGATAAGTAACAAGACATTTATGTGCAGAAATGCCAATGTTGATATGTGGCAATTTAGAAATAGTATTCTCATCACATAGTTGTCCCACAGTGAGCACTGACCAGTTTGTTTTTCAAGTGTAAAGTGTCTTGAACATGTTGGTCATGATTCTTTAATAACGAAATTATATTTTTTTTAATCAAGTGCATCATAGGTTTTAAAAAACCTGTTCATATCAGCCTTAAAAATCCAGTACTGGGGAAAAAGCTAGTCATAACATACTGAACTGTACCGAAGCCAGCTGGCTTCGGCTAAAGAACAAGTAATCCACTAAAATTTAGGGCATTCTTTAAAACGGAAAGGTATATGCGCTTTGCCGATTTATCAATAATTGTCCCTTAAGGTTGGTATGTTCCTACACTCTTCTAGGGGCTACAGAGAGCGTAGGAAAACATATGTTGGAAGCATGCAACAACAACCTAGAGATGGCAGTAACAATGTTTCTGGATGGAGGCGGGATAGCAGAAGAGCCCAGTACCAGCTCCAGTTCAGCAGCTTCAAGCAGCAGAGCACCCCCATCAGAGTAAGCAGTTCTTCTTTTCTTCACACACTTGTGTCAGACAAAAATAAAACAGTCTTTAGAGTTTTGTGTCATGTTTTAATGTCTAAAAGATGCACTAACAGAAACTTTTATAGTGCTCCTTATTGTTCTCCTAGTTTAGAATTGTTGAGCTGGGAGGACGATTTGGAATTCAGGGCACTGCTGTGATTTGTGTTCCTGCTCGGTGATTCAAGAAAATCAGAGAGTGTATCATTTATGACTTAACTGATGCTTGACCTCCTGTCTAGTTTGCTTTGATTCATAGAATAATGCTGTATTCCTTATGTCTTAGTGAAGTACGAGCACCCATTCCTCAGAAGCAGGACATACTGGTGGAACCAGAGCCACTGTTCGGAGGTATCGTGGTGCTGCTTTTCTTATTCTAGCTCATGCAAAAAGATCTTAAACTGTATTGTTGTTATTACTGGCAATGCATTTTTAATTATCTGTTGAATGTCCATTTCGATGCGTCTGTTATATATGCAGTGCCAAAGCGAAGAAGACCTGCTCGATCAATATTTGATGGTTTTCGAGATTTCCAAACAGAAACAAGTATGTATGTTACAATCTGCTTGGTAGTAAATTTGGTGTAATGCTCCTTAACGGCAACAAACAAGAAAATATGCTACTTTCCTCTCTGTCTGAATCATTCTGCCGCTGCCTCTTTACTTCATGTAACGACTGATTTTCTTGTCCCAGTCCGCCAAGAACAGGAGCTGCGTAATGGAGGCACAGTGGATAAGAAACTGAGCACCCTGGCAGACCTTTTCCGT